TCATCTTAACAGACACAGAAAGTGCATTTGGCAAAAATCCAACATCTATTCCTGATAAAAATCTCGCAAGCATGTTAGGAGTAGAAGGAAATTTCAGAGTACAGAAACAAGGCAAGGATGTCTGCTCTCCTCACTGTTCTTACTCAAAATTGTACAGAAGGGCTGAGCTACTGCAACTATGCAGGGGCAAAAAGGCATCCAGATTGGAAAGGAAGAAGTAAAACTGTTTTTATTCACAGATGACACAATTTCCTGTGGTCTAATGGAAACTAGGGAAAACAACTACTAGGGCTAATAAGTTTATCAAGTTTGCAGTATCTTTGTTATGAACTGAGTGTTTGTGTCCTAAAAAAATTCATATGTTGAAGTCATAATCCCCAATCAGACTGTATTTAGAGAAAGGGTCTATGAGAGGGCAATATAAGTTCTAAAGGTGAGGCCCAAATCTGAGAGGTCTGGTGCCCTCATAAGAAAAGGAAGAAACACAAGAGCTCTCTTTGTGCAAAGAGAGAAAAGGCCATGTGAAGTCATAGAAAGATGGTGGTCATCTACAAGCCAGGAAGACAGCCCTCAGGGAACTGACAGCAACTTGGTCTTGGACTTCACAGCCTCCAGAACTGTCAGAAAATAAATTTCTGTTGTTTAAGCCACCCACTCTATGGTATTTCCTGATGGAAGCTCAAGAAGACTAACATAACAGTCAATTACAAAAAGGAATGTTTCTATATGCTAGCAATGAATAGTGAGAAATTAAAATGAAAACTACCATTTATAATAGCATCAAAATATGAAACACTGAAATTAGGTGAGAAATAGTGACATCAGGTGGGAATAATGATCTGTACAGTAAAAACTACAAGATATTTCTGAGAGACATTAAAGAAGGCCTAAATAAATGGACAGACACCAATATTGTAACAATATTAACTATCCTCAAATTAATCTATGAATTCAGTGCAATCCTAATCAAAATCCCATCAGGTTTTTTTTTTTGGTAGAAACTGACCAGCTTATTTTAATATTCATATAAAAATTCAAAGGATCTAGAATAGCCAAAACAACTGAAAAAGAATAACAAAGTTAGAGGGCTAACACTATCTGATTTCAAGAATTATTATAGTGCCACATTGTTCAATACTGCATGGTACTGGCATAAGGATAGAAAAGTAGATGAATGGAATAATATAAAGAATTCAGACACAGAACTATACCTATGTATAGATATCCGTTTTTCAGCAAAAGTACAAAGGCAATACAGTAAAGAATACTATTTCCACTAATGGTGCTAGGATAACTGAATGTCCATATGCAAAAAAATGAACTCGAATCCATAATCATATATAAAAATTAACTCACAGGCATAAATGTAGAACTTTAAACTATAAAACTTCTAGAAGAAAACAGAGAAATTCTTTGTGATTTCAGGTTAGGCAAAGATTTCTTAGTTATGACAACATCTCATTAAAAAATTGACCAGTTGGATTTTATCAAAGTTAAAAACTTAGGTTCCTCAAATGACACTGTTTCACAAGAAACTACAAATCGTATGATTCCATTCATATGAAATGCCCAGAAAAGGCAACTCTAGAGACATAAAGTAGATGAGTATTTCCCTAAGGCTGGGTAGAGAACAGGGCTTAGCTGTAAATGGGCACGAGGGATGAAGATGTTCTAAAACTGACATAAGGTGACGGTTGAACTTCATAAATTTACTAAAAAATCACTGAATTGTAATCCTGAAATGGGTGAATTTTATGATATGTAAAATATACTGCATAAAAGCTCTTTTTTTTAAGATGGTGGAGAGTGTGAAAAAACAAGGCACAGGCTAGAAGCATATCTTTCAAAGTATAAATCTGATAAAAGATTTGCATCCAGAATATACAAAGAACTCTCAGATCCTACAATGAGAAAAATCAACCATTTTTTTTAATGGGCAAAAGATTTGAACAGATACATCACCAAAGAAGACATACAGATGGCAAATAAGTACATGAAAAAGTGATCAACATCATTAGTCATTAGAGAAATGCAAATTAAAACCACAATAAGATATCACTTCATATCCATCAGCATGGTAAAGATTAAAAGACCGACCATACTAATTGTTGGATGCAAAGAAACAACTCTAGAACACAGCTAATTTAAATGTAAGATGGCACAACCACTTTGAAAAACAGCTTTGCAATTTCTACTCCCAGGTATTTACACAACAGGAAAGAAAATATATATCCATACTGTAAAAGGAAAAGTATTCTGATACTTGTTAAAACAATAAGGAAGACTTTATTGAAGACTGCTGAAATAGGGGTATTGCAATAGGGGTCACAGATCAGGTCTAACTTCAAACACAGAAAAGACAGCTGGGGATTTATAGCCAATGAGCAGAGTGAGGGCATCAGAGGTTGAGAAACTGCTAAGAGGAGACATCAAGGGTAAAGGGATTCTTGCTAAACTGATCTGTGAAATTGTGATTTACAATAAGAAATCTATCTTTGGTTTTGTCCCCATTCCTGGAATTGAGCTCCTAAAATGCTTGGAATCTCCTAAGTGATGAGAGCAACAAAGGTATCTTTTGTTACATCAATGAGGTAACTTCTGGACTGCACTTAAGGATGGGGGCTGGTTACCAGGGGAACCAACTATGTGATTAGAGGGTTGGAAATTTCAGGCCCAACCCATAACCTCCAGGGAGGAGAGAGAAGTTAGAGGTTGAACTAATCACCAATGGCCATTGATTAAATCCATCACATCTACCTAATGAAGCCTCCATAAAATCCCAAATGGATGGAATTCAGAGAGCTTCTGGGTTGGTGAGATTTGGGGAGAGTGGCACTCCGGAAGAAAGCATGGAAACTCTGCACCCTTTCCCCATACCCTGTCCAATGCATCTCTTCCATCTGGCTGGTCCTGAATTATATCCTTTCATAACGAACCAGTAATCTAGTAAGTAAAATGTTTTTCTGAGCTCTCTGAGCTGCTCTAGCAAATTAATCGAACCCCAGGAGAGGGTCGTGGGAACCTCTGATTTATAGCCAGTCAATCAGAAGTAAAGGTAATAACCTAGAATTGTGACTGGAGCCTGAAGTCCAAGGAAGGAGATCATAGGAACCTCCAATTTGTAGCCGGCCTGTCAAAAACACAGGTAATAACCTGGGCTTGTAATTGGTGTCTGAAGTGGGAAGTGTTCTTCTGGGACTGAGCCCTTTACCTGTGGAATCTGATGCTATCTCTGTGTGGACAGTGTCAGAACCAAGTTGAATTCTAGGACACCCAGCTGGCTCCCGGTGCACTGCTTGTTAGAGGTGTGGGGAAACCCTCCCCACCACACACTCATTGAAACTGGGTCCAGGAACCAAATTAGATTTAACATGTCAGAGTGCTAAAGGCAGTCAGGGTGATCAGACGTCAGGAATGGAAGATTCTCTCTTAACTGACTTAGCAGAATTCTTGCTAAAGCTGTATTCCAGGATGCACATAGAAGCCCAAGGTCAAGGCCTAGTTGAGAAGAGGGCTCAGAAGAGCCTAAAGTTTGATCAAGGGGAGATTATTTGTCAATACAAATACTTGTACATAAATGTTCCTAGCAGCTAAACAACCTGAATGTCCATGAATAGGTGACTAGATAAATAATTTTCTGTATACCATGCAATGGAATACTATGTAGCAATAAAAAGGAATAAACTATTGATAACATGGCTGAATTTCAAAATAATTATGCTGAGTGAAAAAAGTCAGACCAAAAAAATCTCTTTCTCTTTGTCTCTCTCTCTCTTTCTCATGACTCCAAAATTCTAGAACACGTAAACCAATCTATAATGACCATAACTAGATCAGTAGTTGCTCACTATTGTAAGGGGGTGGGGGTGGGGCAGGAAGAAAAAAATTATAAAATGGTAGGAGGAAACTTTTGGTGATGGATATTTTCACTATCTTGATTGTGGCAGTGGATTCACAGGTGCATACATATGTGAAAATTTTCAAACTGCACACTTTAAATATGTGCAGTTTACTTCATGTCAATTATATCTCAATAAAGTTTTTTTTTTAAGTAGTAGTTCCCAGTTTCAGCTGGGGTCTCAACAATGTGCTGTATAATCTTGGGTTTCCCTAGTTCTTCCATTCCCCCCCAAATCCTACTTTAAACTATTTTTACTTTCCTTAAGCCTCTTTATTCTCTCTCTCTCTCCTTCTCTGGAGATTATCCCTCAAACTGCCTCTAGCCTCAGCCTTTTTCAATCTGTTCTCCATGCCTGAAACCAAAATAAATTTTATACAAGAGCATTGGGTATCTCCTGTTTACAATCCTTTACCAGCTCCCCACAGGAAAATATTCAAATTCCTTAATAAGGATTATAAGACCCTTTACAATCTTGGCCCCTGTTTACCTTTACAATCTCATCTCCACCTTTCTCCTCACCACCCAGATCCCCAACTTCACCCTGAAAACATCTAGCGACAATGAACCACTACATATCAATAAGTTCTGCCTCTTTCTTTCTTTTTTCTCTGCCTCTTTCTTGTCTTACTCTTTCTCTCTGTCTTTCTTGTCTGCCCCCTCCCCCCTTCCCCCTCTCTCTTTTTGTTTTCCTCTCTTTTTCTGCTCATCCTCTCCCTCTACTCCCACCCAAACCTCCATGACTCATAGAGTCTTGAGTTTTATATCTTCTTTATTAATGGAGCTTAGAACTTCCATATAGTACTTTCATTCTAACACAACAAGGTTGATAGCCACATTTTTTTTACGTACAGACAAAAACTGAGTTTAGGGACAAAGTAGGATAATACTGTTTATTCTAGTTATTTAATATCCCCAGGTCCCAATGATGCTAAGTGTTTTTGCTGTGGCAGCCTAATATCCTTTAACTGGAATTGTAGCTGATAGCTGATTCCACATATAGATGCTATTATCCTCCACTGAGTTACAAATTTCTCAAAGTATCTCTAATATAACAGTAATTATTTCTTTTAGTAATTGAAGGAAAATATGAAAATACTACCTCATTTGAAGGATTTTCTTGCACACTTGACACAGGAACGATTTCATTTGAGTTAACGTAATTGCTGACATTTGGAAATAGTTCTTCAGAAGATGCTTTCTGCACTGAGGACAAATCAATCTACAAAAGAATATATTACTCTTTTGTAGAAGTTAAATGTTGCAAAAACAATTATTTTTAAGCAATTAAAGGGAAGTTGACATATTCTCTCAATAGAAGCATTTTCTTGTGAACTTGACATATGAACAATTTGATCTGCATTAATATAATTGCTTCTTCAAAAGACGCATGTTTAACTGGGAACAAATCAATCTATAAAGAATAATATAAGGCTCTTAGGCTTTACAATAATTTTTTAAATAAAAATATTTGTTTGCTAAAGTATCATGTAATTTACATATATCAAGTGCCTATCAAATGAAATTCATCTACCCAGCAACTATGGTTCATGGAATAACTTCCCTTGCACTTCCCTTAAATGTCAGCCTTCCCCAGCATTCTGCTCCTGCCTTCTTTTTGCCTACCAACTGAACACCAGATATTTTAAAATCCCTATCTTTTTTGTGAGCATTATATCCATATCACTATCAGGTTACTTAAATCACCACATATTTCCATATCAAATTCAAAATATTTAAAACCAAATCAGGATCCATACTCTTTAGGTTGGGACTCCAAAAAGCTTTGTCATGTTATCCAGCTAGGTCTGACTAGAGTAATCTGGCCTGAACCTATGCTACACTACATGCATATGTGACCAGAATGAATTATCAGCTGTGCTGGGTGGGAAGTGGGAGTGTCTGCCCTTGCCTAGCTCTTCTTCCTTACAGGAGGGCAGAACAACTTCACGCCTAACCATGTACATCTTGAAACAGTGTTAGGAAGGTCACAATAAAGTGAGACCCTGGAAAATGAAAATCTCCCAAAGTCCTTGAGTCAACTGGCTTCCTTTCAGGGTGGCCAGACTGACAGCTTGGAACTGAGGGAGATCTACATGACTCATTTGGTGGCAGCAACCTGTGGAATGAACCAAAGGGCAATTAGTCTCAGATTCATTTGGTAACAAAATAGACTTTAAAATGCTAAGCCACTAAGTCTTCTCAAAAGTATTTTTATTTATTAAAAGACACTTATATCCACAGAATGGAGAAAATATTTACAAATCATTTATTTGATAAGGGTCTAGTAACTAGAACATATAAAGAACACTTACAACTCAACAATAAAAAGACAACCTAATTTTAAAATGGGCAAAAGATATAAGAAGACATTTCTTCAAAGAAGATATACAAAGAACCAATACAATCAACTGTAAAATTACAATAAGGTACTATTTCACACTCAAAAAGAGGGATGATAGTAAGTGTTGGTGAGAATACAGACAAATCAAAACACTCACACACAGCTGCTGGGAATGTAAAATTGTTCAATCACTTTGGAAAAGAATCAAGTAGTTCCTCTAATGATTAACCATAGAGTTAACCATATAACTCAGAAATTTTACTTCTAAGTACTATCCAAGGGAAATGAAAACATATATCCACACAAAAGCTTGTACCTGAATGTTTACAGCAGCATTAGTCAAAATAGCCCAAATGGCCATGAACACAATGGAATATTTGGCCATGAAAAGGAAAGAAGAACTGACACATCATATGACATGGATGAATGTTGAAAACATTATTCTAAGTAAAAGAAATCAGTCACAAAAGATTTTATTCATACAAGATGTCCAGTAAATCTATAGAGACGGAAAGTAGATTGATGGCAGTTTGGGGCCAGATAGTGGAATGGAGGAATAAGGGGGTAATAGCAATGGTTAAAGTGAATGGGGTTTATTTTTGAGGTGATAAAAATGTTCTAAAAATTAACTGTGGTAATGATAGCACATTTTTGTGAATACACCAAAACCACAGAATTTTATACTCTAAATAGGTAAATTGTACCTCAGTAAAACTGTTTTTTAAATCCACTACAAAAAAAGTGTTACATGTAATCGATTCATTCCATCTCCACTTCTAGGCATATACTCGAGAAAAGTGAAAACATATATTCATATAAAAACTTGTATATGAATGTTCATAGCATTATTATTCATCTAAATGCTCACAAACAGATGAATCAGTAAATACAATGTGGTGTATCCTTACAATGGGATATTATTCAGTCATAAATAAGGAACAGAATACTGATATATGCTGTTAACATGGATAAATCTTAAAAACATTATGGTAAGTGAAAGCCAGACACAGAAGACCAAATATTGTATGAAACCATTTATATGAAATAGCCACAATAAGCAAACCTAAAGAGACAGAATAGATTAGTAATTTCCAGGAGCTAGAGGGTAAGATTGGGGGAATGGTAAGTGATTGTTAAGGGGGTGATTAAAAATGTTCTTAAATTAGATTGTGATAATGGTTGCACAACCTTATGAGTATACCAGAAGTCACTGAATTTACACTTTAGCAAGGTGAACTTTATAAAATGTGAATTATAGCTCAATTTTTAAAAGATGTCAGTATTTATAAAATAGTCACTAATTAGTTTTATGGGGGAAAAACTCCTTTTTAAAAATTTATCTATCTCTCTATACGTTTTAACCCAAAATATCAAACAAAAATGAATAAAAAAATAAAGCATTCATTTTCTGGAAAAGGTATTAATCTTTAGAACACTATAAAGATTGTGAGCAGAGTGTTCACAGAAACCTTTTCCCCATCTTGAAAAAACTGATCTTTGGCTAACTCTCTAGCTCTGCTCCACAAGGAATCTGATAAAGGTAAGAATGTCCACTGTATTACTATGCAACAACGCTTAGGGCAAAAATGGTATCTGATTTATAAATTGCATTTGGACAGGGAGCAGCTATAAATGCACCAGAAGTATAAGTACTTTAAGTAAATAAATACTATTAAAGGCACCATATTTTGGGTTTCCTGACTCTTGTAATTAGGCATGTCCCTCTAGGGGACACTGGAAGCTATGTCTATGTGTTATTACAAAAGATATTGGACCTCATCTCCTTGTACATGAGCTGTCCCAGACTGCTATGTATGTTACCACATGGACTTCTGTGAGGACTGCTCCCAATGATGAGGAATACTTGATTCTGCTCCACTTGAAAGCTGTATTCCTGTCATTTAGTTGAACCTAAGAACTCTGGTTGGGTAAGATGTATTCATTAGATTCTTACAAGAAGACAAAGGGAAAAAGCTTCATAACACTGCATTTCCAAATGATTTTTTGGATATGACACAAAAGCACACGCAAAACAACAACAACAAAAAGGATAAACAGAATTACATATATTAAAAACTTTTGTGCATCACAAGACATTATCAAAAGAATGAAAAGGTAATTCACAGAATGGGAGAAGATATTTGCAAACCATATAGCTGATAAGGGGTTAATATCTAGAATATATAAAGAACTACAACTCAACAGAAAAATAAACAATCTGATTTTTAAAATAAGCAAAGGACTTGAACAGACATTTCTCAAAAGAAGATATTAAAAACGGCCACTCATTATGTGAAAAGGTGTTCAACAACACTATTTTTATTTTGGGGAAATAAAAATCAAAACCACAATGAGGAACCATGTCACACCTCTACAGATGGCTATCATTTAAAAAAACACCAACATACAGAATATAACAAGTGTTGGCAAGGATGTTGAGAAATTGGAACCCTAGTGCATTGTTGGTGAGAATGAAAAATAGTGCATCCAGTATGAAAAATAGGAAAATGGTTGCTCAAAAAGTTAAAATGAGAATTTCCATATGATCCAGCAATTCCACTTCAAAATATATACCCAAAAGAATTGAAAGCAGTGTCACAAAAAGATACTTGCATACCCATGTTCAGAGCGACATTACTTACAATAGCCAAAAGATGGAAGCAACTGAAATGTCCATTGAGAGATGAATGGATAAACAAAATGTAGGATATTCATGCAATGGAATATTATTCAGCCTTAAAAGGGAAGGAAATTCTAATACATGCTACAACATAGATGAACCTTGAAGACATTATGCTAAGTGAAATAAGCCAGTCACAAAAAAGACACTGTATGACTCCTTTATATAAAATACCTAGAATAGTCAAATACACAGAGACAAAGTACAACAGAGGTTGCCAGGGACTGGAGGAGGGAGGAATGATGAATCATTTTTTAATGGGTATAAAATTTCATTTTTGCAAGATAAAAAAAGTTCCAGATATGGACAGAGGTAATAGTTGCCCAACAATGTGTATGTACTTGAACCGTGCATTTTTTTAACATTTTTTATTGATTTATAATCATTTTACAATGTTGTGTCAAATTCCAGTGTAGAGCACAATTTTTCAGTTATACATGAACATATATATATATTGTCACATTTGTCACATTTTTTTCTCTGTGAGCTACCATAAGGAACCATACATTAAAATAGTTAAAATGGCAAATTTCACGTTGTGTTTATTTTGCCACAATCAAAAAAATTTTTAAAGAACCCTGACTGGTGCTGCAGTATTCTTTCTTTTATGTACAGTAGTAAAAGAGTACTTCCAGTGAAAGTGTGTTTATACAACAGAAAATACAGACATTATTGTCTAAGTGCATATTCCCCTGGCCTGACAAAAACAGAATAATGGGGAGAACAGGGAGCCTGAAAATAGATACTACAAGTGCCAAATGCTAATAGTACTTACCACTAAACCAGCTGTTTGCGAAGATGGAGTACTTGTTAACAGGCCTCTGCTTTTCTTATCAGAAGTACTGGGCTTTGTGTCCTATCAATATTTTGTGAGATAGGGGATTGAAAAGCAGAAACAGAAAACTACTTTAATACAGTAAAAAACAAAATTTAAAAACAATATACTAGATCATAATTGTCGTAGTAATAAAATTTTAATCTGCTAATTAAATTTTAAACCACTAGACAGGTAACTAAAGAATATTCTGGCTTGAGCTAGGTCAAACAACTTCCAAGAAAACTCTATGTGGTGCAACTGATAAATCTCTTTGAATAGGTATCATTATATGCTGTCCAGTCTGGACCCAAACTCATAAAGCTTGAACATCATAGTGGTGTTAGGTTTCTTTTTTCTTTCTTTCCTCTTTTCTTTCTTTCATTCTTTACTTTTTTACTGGCTTAAAATGACTTAAACTAGTTGTTCAAGACATAATCCAGAATATGTATTAGGAAGATTTTATCTAAAAAATTTTATGGGTATACTTACCTAGTATACTAAATATGTAAGTGCTGTAATTTATTGGCTATGTAACCTTTTAATTTCTTTATTTGAACAATAGGGATTATCCTACCCTAAGGATTGCCATGCAAAAGTTATAAATAATACACGTAAAGAGAACCTAGGGTGTCTGGAGGGTAGGAGATACTCAATGATAGCTGTAATTATTATCACTGTGGCAGCCATGAAGGTGCTCTGCTCAGATCTCCTTCAACAAAGAACTTGCTGTTCCACTGCATTAAGTACAGTTAGCTAATAGCCCCCAGCTACAACATCTTTAGAATCTGCTTCAGCTTTCAGGCTGAGGCCATCATCTTCTTGGGCAAGACTCAGCCAACATCCCAGCATAGCAGCCCAACATAAGATAAGATTCCTATAATGGACAATCTTCGCTCCAGACCACCCCACTGGGAGAGCTTCTGCCAGATTTGCATTGAAGACTGAGGCTATTTCAGCCTAATCCTGCTTCCTTCCAGCTTTCCTTTCTTAGGTCTTACCCGCTTTAAGATGCTACTTGAACTTTTAATTCTCTTGCAACAACCATTTCCCAGTGGTCCCAAGTGACACAGTTGTCAACTGACAGTTCATTTAAAAAACATCTGCCTGTATGTAGGTGTAAGTATACAGCTTCTGTGCATTTTCCCCCTAAATTTGTTAAGAAATTATGTATATCTAAATCTTCCCAATAAGTACATTTTCTTCTTAGAGTCTTTCTAATAATTGGTTAATAAAAGGCCAGTGCCTACCAACGCAGATTTGACAGGTCGAGGTAGCAGAACTCTGGTAACTGATCTAACTGCATTGCTTTCAACATCAGACCTCTGGTGAGATGAGGGAACCTTGATTTTTAGATGATGAGAACTTAATTTTGCTTCAAAATTTGTATCTCTAGGTTCAGGATCTTTTTCAGGCTGAAACAAATTCATAACCATAAAACATTTCACAGTGCTATAAAAACATTTGTAGCACATCTCAGATTTTTATTGTTTTATATATATATATGTTATAATTGTTATAATTAAAATAGGGTATATATATTTCTATCTATTATTCCCTCAACTTGAAAGAAAGTTTTAAACAGAAGGATAAAAGTTTTTCTTAAAAAAGTACAGTTTTCTATACATTGAAGGAAAAAAAATCTGTTGAAAGAGAAAATCTGTTGAAAGATACTCAGCTCAAAAAATTGCCCTACTACATTTAAGGTGTTATCTCCCAAACAATGTTCTGTGAAAAGAAAACAAATGATAATAATACCTATTTATTTATACTATTTAAAACTAAATTTTAGAGAAAAGAGTAAATATATTTACATGTTTTATTATGCAATAATCTTCATTTAAAAAACAAAAACTCCTTTCTAAGACATTAGGAAGCTGCAACTAGAATAAATTGTATTGCTTTACCAACTAGTCCCTGTATTGAAAACTGCAGACTGTTCAGTGACTGCCTGTCCTAAGTTGTGTGACTTGTCTTATGCCTTCAAGGGAATAATATTTATATTATAATATTTATAATAATATTCCAGGTTTAAATATATTTAACATAACTGAGGAGGTGTAATATGAGTCAGGTCCTGACAAGATTTTGAACTGCAGGTAAGGGAATAAAGAGAGATGATAGAGTAAAGGGAGGGGAAGGACATGAAGAAGTATAAGGTATATTCTGAGCAAAGGAAAGAACAACGGAATGGAGCAAAGCTTGAGGTACTTACTGACTCCTTTCTTTCATGAAGACTTCACACCTTGCTCACAGCCTTTTTCCTCACTCCTGTCATCATTCTCAGGAATTTTATCATCCAAGTGGATAACCTATCCAACCAACTGGACTCTTAGTTGCTTGATCTCTGCATTTCCAATAACCTTTTCTCCTCATGCCATTTCAGTCACTCTATGATCAAACTTAGCCCTTACCATCAACAGAAACTATTAAAATCATCAGTTCAAATAGCTTCCTACAACCTTCCAACCCCTGCTCAATTATCTTCATGAAATAAAACTTCCCTGTCACTGAAATCTCCAATTTATTGATCCTACCATTTTATTTTCATCCATGATCCTTCTCCCACCTTATTTCTTCCTTATCTACCACCATCCATCATTATAATTATTTTCATATCCCTTTCTCCTCCTATCACAGATGTGTAACAAATCACTAGCCTGATGAACCCTGATATCAATATCCTCTGTACCATCAGTACAATTGAGTGCTGGGGAAAATTGTACAATCTGGCCTATCAAAGACACAACAAACTCAAAAGTAGCCACAGATTGGCACCTCTTCTACACCTCTCTAACTTCTCATGACTATTTCATACTCATCCCATTTTCCTTCAACCTCTAGCCTCCTTCCTTCTACTATTCTCAACTAACATCTTCAGCTTACCCTTCCCTGCAACAATAGAAGACATCAAACAGAACCCTACTACTTACTCAGGAGTCATAATTTTGGGGGCCCAGTGCAAAATAAAACTGTGTAGCCCTTTATTAAGGTATTTTAAATGTCAGGATGGTGACAACAGCGCATTAAATTAAGTGTTGGGTCCTTTTAAGCACAAAGCCTTCCTTGCTACCACTGTATGTACAACAGAAACATCCCTTTTTTTTTTTAAAGCCAGTTTTTCCACTTGTATTCTGGATCTCAACCCTCCTCATCTTTTCAACGACTTCTTTTTTCCATATAAGAATATAATGAAGCTGTTCTTTTATTTTTAAAAATATTTTATTGAGATATAACTCACATACCATAAAATTCACCCAAGAGTAAAATTCAATGGTTTTTAGTACATTCACAGGGTTGTGCAATCATCACTGTAGCCTATTTTAGAATATTTTTGTTCCCCCTAAAAGAAACCCTATAACCATTAGATGCCAATCTTCATTCCATCACCACCAGCCCTCAGTAACCACTAATCTGTCTGTTTTATATATTTGCCTCTCCTGGACATTTCTTTTTTTTTTTCACATTTTTATTACTCAAAAAAGCTTCATGTTTTAAATTTAGCTTTCTGACTGTGCTTGTGCTTTCAATACTTTCAAAATGATTTTCTGCTCCTCAATAAGGAAAGCACGCTTGATCCTGTCATGGACACATTTAGCACACATGGAAATACCATAAGCCGGCTGACATGTTTTTTTGTTTTAGACAGTTTCATAAGAACTTTAGGTCTCACAGCACGAACTCCTCGAAGTCAGTCTGGGCACACACCACATGCGGATTTTGGCGCTTTCCCAACTTTCTTGGTAGAAAGGTAAACAATTCTATTACCAGGGGTTCGGGACAGCCTAGTTTTGTTAGAGGCTATATTGTAGGACAGCCTATGATGGTATGTCAAATGCTGGACCCTTCTGAATGCCTCTAGACACGATCCTTGGAAGAGGAAAAAGGAAGGGCCAACGAGTTCAAAGGCCAAATATGACTGCCTCCTGGAAATTTCTTATAAATGGAATCATATAATACGTGGTCTTTTGTGACTGACTTCTTCTACATTGTATAATGTTTTCAAGGTTCATCCAACTTGCAGCATATATCAGTGCTTCACTGGTTTTTATTGCCAAATAATATTCTATTGTATGGATATATCAAATTTTCTTTATTCATTCATCAGTAGATGAACATTGGGGTTGTTTCTACTTTTTTGCTGTTATGAATAAATGCTTCCATGAACATTCATGCATAAGTTTTTCTGAGGATATATGCTTTTATTTCTCTTGCGTATAAATCTAAGAGTAGAATTGCTGACTCCTATGGTAACTCCATGTTTAAAATTTTGAAGAACTGCTAAACTGTTTTCCAAATCAGCTGCATTGTTCTACATTTACATAAGGATGTTTGAAGGTTCTAATTTCTCCACATCATCACCGTTTGTTTTTAATCTATCTTTTTGATTATAGGCATCCTAGTGGATGTGTAATAATATCTCATTATGGTTTTGATTTGCATTTCCCTAATGACTAAGGATATTGAGCATCTTTTCATGCATTTATTGGCCATTTGTGTATCTTCTTTAAAATAATACAGGGAAGTTTTTATATACCAGCATCCCAGACATGGTAAGCTATAGTCAGAAAGTTGAGAAGGAGCAGAAAATACAAGAGCATAAGAAACAGTATTTAATGCAATATGTGATACACTTAAATTATAAGATGCTTGATTTGTATAGAAATTGTGTGTGTGTGTGTGTGTGTGTGTGTGTGTGTGTGTGAACTGGTAGAGTGTGAAAGTGATATAGCACGCATGGGAGGAGAAAAGAAAAATGTAACCATGAGGAAGTGAAGAAGCACGGAAAAGAACACAGAAGAATGTAAAAGAATTTTTATTGCTTTAGACTAAAGAAGTGAAATTCAGGTCAACTTCAACTAGATCCCTACGTCACAGGGAGCTCCAGTTGCCTACAGAATTACTTCAGCTCTCTTGTCTTCCTTCCTTCTACCATTCCCATTAACCCTCAGAAATGATCTAGTATATCCCATCTTTAGAACAGAATAAAATTCCTCTGACCCTGCCTCTCCCTCCAGTTACTGTTCTTTTTCTCTATTTCC